GTTTTAAAGCGTTGACATTTGGCCTTCTAAATAGCCATACAGTTTGGCGTTTGATGCACATAACCTCAAAAATCAGTAGTGCTCACGATGGTAATAACAAAAGAGCATATTCGATTTTCCATTCACTTCGCGTTTCATCTGAAGAAAAATGCTGCTGAAGCCACTGCAATGATTTGTACTGCATATGGAGAGAACGCTGTAAGTCATGCTACATGTAAAAGATGGTATCAAAAATTTCGCCAAGGAGATTTCAGTCTTGAAGATGAACCGCATGTTGGACGCCCTCAAAAGATTGAAACGGACGAATTGCAAGCACTGCTGGATATAAACTCTGCGCAAACTGAAAAGGAGCTTGCAGAACAGCTTGGCGTTACGCAGCAAACCATTTCCGTACGTTTACATACGATGAGAAAGGTTTGGAAGGATGGCAGATGGATTTCCGCATAAATTGTCCAAAGACAACAAAAATCGTCGGCGTGACACTGCACTCACTTTGTTTTCAAAGTTCCGGAAAAAGATTTTCTGCACAAAATCATTACAGGCGATGAAAAGTGGATTCTTTATGATAACCCTAAACGTAGAAAATCATGGGTTGACTCTGGTCAACCTTCGACATCGACGCCAAAGCCCAATATCCACGCCAAGAAGGTTTTGCTCTGTATCTGGTGGGATTGGAAAGGTGTGTTGTATTACGAGTTGTTATAACCGGGTGAAACAATCACGGCAGACCGCTACCAACAACAATTGACCAATTTGAGCGATGCATTAGAAGAAAAGAGGCCATTTACTGGCCAAGGACGTCGTAAAGTGATCTTGCTTCATGACAATGCTCGACCACATGTTGCGAAAGCGACTCAGGACCATATCTGTGCGTTAGGCTGGAAACTTCTCCCGCACGCGGCGTATAGTCCAGACATGGCGCCTTCCGATTACTACCTATTCCGGTCGCTGCAGCATCATTTGGCTGATACACATTTCGTGAGATTTGAAGAGATACGAAAATGCATTGATTGCAATGACTATCGCTTCGAAGCCGGTGAGCTTCTATCAAGAAATTCGCAAGCTACCCGAAAGATGGCAAAAGGTCGTTGATGCAAACGGGGAATATTTCGCTGATTAATATTTTTTTGTTTGTTTTTGAATAAAGATTGAATTTTACAAAAAAAGCTCAGAACTTTTTTGTATACCTAATATTATCTCTTTCCAATATTATGTTTTTTGTGTATTTACACTACACATACCATTAGAGCCAATATTGGACCAATCAACAAGCTGCAATAAGTTTACTGAGTTATGACATATAAGTTTAGCTAAATGTTTACCACATAGGTCCGGTTTCATAACTTTTAGTTTAACTCGAGTTTAGCTGAACGGCCGTTAAAGTTGACGTTGGCGTTAAATATATTGCATTCTACAACTCATTTTTAACCCTAGGTTCGTAAACCTATATCCTATTCACTGAAACTCAAAATATACGCTTCTTTCTCCTTAAACATGAAATCTGATTGATTAGCTGAGATTTTGCAAAGGAGATGGTAAAAGCATGGCGGCAAAGAGATCTGATGTTTAATTTTTTACAATTTGCAATAAACATTGATTCCTTGAGAAGTGTGATTCCTTTTTTAAAATGAATTTTTCGTCTGAAAAAGAAATGTCCATGAAAGACAATTCAAATAAAAAGCGGCTACCAAATTTTACGACAGATGAAAAAATAACTTTAATTCAAATCATCGATAATAAAAAAATTATAATTGAAAGCAAGCAAACAGACGGTTAACTGTTAAAAAACGGGTAACTGTTAAAGAAAAAGAAAAATGTTGATTAGATATAAATCGTGAATTTAATAGTGCATACAAGCAAATCGAAATGTGACATCGCTAAAAAATTGTTAGGACAATTTAAAAAAAGGAAACATTTTGCGGAAAAACATAAAGAAATTTTCGCAACAGATATATAAATGTAGAATTTATTATAAACGTATATATGAGCATACTGTATACAGCTATTAATTAATAATTGACATATAGGCGGAAAGATGAGTGTCCCTGATGACCTGATAGTTGAAAGAGTCAAAAATGTTATTCAACCATCAGTTGATAGTTTATAAAATCCATTCGACAGCAATTGTGTAGCAGGTATATATTTTATACGTTTTGAAATAATTTTACATTAATTATTACTGTTATTATTACTGTTTATATTTTTATTATCAATAGCAATTATCCTTTGTGAATGACAACCTTGTCAATAATAAATATTCTCAATTATAATGCTGTTTTATAATGCTACATATACCTACTGTTCTATTGGATGTGAAATTTCAGGTTCTATAGCTTTCAACACTTCAGTAATGCATTCTTTTGATAATTGGAATCGAGCGTGAAAATCTATCATCAAATTCATAAAAATGAATAGGTCGTCTTCTAACATTATTTGGCCTTCGATTAACAATATTAGTAAAATCTTCATCATCTGATGTCAATAATACAAAAGCCATATTATATATAAATTTTCGAATTTTAATGAATCTTGAAAGTACTTTTCGATATATTCCGTAAAATGTAATACTCAATTCAACATAATGAAGTACACAACAGTAATCTCAAAAGAGAGTATATTATTGCGAAACTTTCAAAGCAATTTCAGTGGTGCCACGGTCAATATATATATAATTGAAAAATGTTGATATTATCGACTCTTTTGACTGTACTGAGAATAACAAAGGGAAGAAAACGTTTATTTATTACTGTTATTATGATGAATTTAATTTTAAATTAATAGTTCCTTTTACGAATAACAATAATAACAATAATAATAGCATAATAACATGATAATAAATGAATGTTATCTTTATAGACATATAATATAAACCCCGCATACCATATACTCTTCAATACTACCAGTTGAGTTTGGCCATAGACATAGTATAGATAGACTGAGCATGCTATATACCAGGCAATGGGCGACATATGCGAAATCCCTGTCATAGACATAGGCTGTGTTAGCAGAGAAAGCAGATCAGTGAGCGCTCAGTGATTTTTCAATATGATTGTTCCTTGCCTTTAGGTCTTCGTTGAATGTAGGTGTAGAAACCAATCATAACAAAGAATCACTGAACGCTCACTGATCTGCTTTCTCTACTGAACGCAGCCATAGTACCCCACTTAATATTTTTCCTTTTTCTGTTAGAGAGAGAGAAAAAAATTAGGTGTTGTTTCTTCTCACTCGCACATGTCGCCCATTGCCTGGTATATAGCATGCTCGATCTATCCATACTATGTCTATGGATTTGGCAGAACCGTGAGAGAAGCAAAATATCGGAGAATATCTGTCCTTTACTGCGCGCGCATTATTGACAAATAAAAATGGCCTACTCGAGGATCATCTGATATCCGTAGCAATATACTTGTATTTAAAATGAAATAATATATTTTTAAGTTTATTGAATACGAGAAAGAAAGTTTTAATAGAGTAAAGCTATAAAGAATAATATAACTGTCCATCACGACTGTTATATAATCTGTCAATAGATCATCGCGTATCTTATCTGCGCAAAGAGAAAGAGAGAACTTCCCCTATATTTTGTCTCTCGCAAATCGTTCAAGGACTGATATATATAGCTAATGCTGAGTCTATTATATATGTCTATGATTATTCTCCTTTTGTTATTCTCAGTATAACCAAAATTGATTATATGATTGATTATATCAATGTTCTTCAGTTATTCTCAGATTCCTCCGGGACTCCATTAGTGGACACGAAAATTTTCCCATGGTTATCGCTCTTTAATAGTATTTCGTCGGTGGTTCTGATAATACAAGTTAAAGATGCATTTGGGATATACTCATCAAGATATAGAAATATTCCGAGTATATTACATGTAGGCTGTGTTTCCCTTTTTACTGGTAATACTGGCAGTACTGAAAAATTGTTCCGTTATTAGCATACATGCTACGGCAGCATCTAGTTCCATCAATGACGTCATAAATGACAACCATATTGCCACTGCGACTACTGCAGCTCTCGAGGTGAGGCAGTACAGTGCAATATGACGTCGAACGCGCGAAAAATAAATTTGTTAGATGCTGAAACAAATAAAATATTTACTTTATATTTAAAACAATTACAAACAATAAATGTTTATTTTCTAAGCATTTTATACATATAACTACACATTAGTTATATTTATAATTAGTTATATTTATCTTACCAAAAATGGCTCTTAAACTCCACATCTGAGTATTTAGTTATCACGTCCATATAATTTTTTATACGCGGTCGAACTAGAAGTGGTATTCGTATTATTTTTATTTGTTCTTCTTCTTCTTCGGAATCGCTCTCGCTATTATTTTCATTTAAACTTTCTAATGCTATTAAGCATATTGAAAGTTTCGAGTGTTTGTCCATCTTGTCTATAACGTCTACAACTGTTACAGTCCACTGCAGTGCTGTTCCGAAATACGACGTCATAATGCTACTGGCAGTACAGTAATTTCGGAACGACTACGGCAGTGAACTATCATGACGTCATTATGATTTCACAATAAAAAAGGAACACAATCATAATTAGGAGGTCAATTATAACTTTTCTCCTAGGGCGGAAACGTGAAAAATGAAAAGTTTCATTTTTCATGTGAACTTACGATCATGTATGTACGATTTCGGGATTATATAATTCTCTCAAATGTGAAAATGTGAAATTTTTCATGTGAACTTTTTCGCCATGTAAATCTTGCGTAATGTAAACTTATAAAAAATGAAAAATTTCATTGACGAATTCAATGTTAATCGAAGTGGAAATTACAAAATGAAAATTCATTAAACTATTTGCGTAAACTTTTTATATGTCGAAATCTAATAAATTTCTTCACTTTTGTAATTTTCACTTTATTTTATAAGATATGCACAATTGACTAAAGGAGCTCATATTTCAATTTCACGCCTATATTCGCGTAGCGATCTGCTGATTGGTCCGTATCTCCAGCAAACGCCATTTCTTTTTGCGCGAAGCGACGCCCTGACGCTTCACTCCTACTATGCCATCTCCGCTGCTGCTTCGGACGGAATTGTGCCACGGGAGTTGTGTCCGATATTAGTAATCGCCGATGAAATGGAGCAGTCAACCACGTACTGCTTTTGTGGTCGCACGTACGATCCGCCACAGTTTATGATACAATGCGATGTGTGCAAGGAGTGGTACCATGGCGGGTAAGCGTTTCCGTGTATGTTGGGGAAGTAAACGTCGGGACGCGCGCGAAAGTTGTTTCTTCTTTTGCGATCTTCTACAAATGTTAAGGAACCTCGCGCGTAGAGTCGCACATTCCAGGAATGTCTGTTTGCCTTGTAATTGGTCGCGGACTTGACAGATCACGCCGCGCCACGTCGCGAGGAATGTTTTGTTGACGGTAACATAACCTATATCGCGTGTCGCTCATCCTAATGTCCGTGTTTAGTATACAGATAATGCAATGAAAGTCATCTAAGCACAGACAATCGCTAATCACGATTGATCAAAACTCTTATTTGCGATTTATAGAATTGCGTAATACTTTATAAATATAATATAATTGACGCCTTTGTTGTGTCACTATTATGTCATGTTACTATTTTGTTCTTGCAGGTGTGTGGATCTGAAGGAATATATAATTATAGATGTTGACAAATATCATTGTCCACGGTGTGAACCCACATGTGGTCCTTCACTTAGTAAGTGTGTTATATCATTATACATTTTGAATATATTTACAAGTTTATATTATTGTTAATATCTATTTTGTTACTACAGTGAAAGTAAGGACAAACTGGCATAGACATGATTATTCTGAATGTGATGCGGATACAAAACCAGTTCAAACTGGAACCCCAGTATTTATACGAGAGCTCAAGTCTAGACACTTTCCCAAAGCTGATGAGATTGTGAAACATGTGAAAGGATACCAATTAACTTTTCAGTATTTACAAATAAATGGTTTTGAAACTCCTATCATTATTGATGGAAAAGATGGACTTGATATGACTGTACCACCTCCAAGTTTTAATGTCAATGATGTCGAAACCTATATAGGTAAGATAATATATAAAAGCATAAAAATATTCATAGGATATTTTATTTTGTTTTTTGATATATAAAGTTACATAATTTATGTTCTTTTGAGGTGGTGATCGGGATATGGATGTGATTGATGTTACTAGACAAAGTAACATACGTATGAAATTAAAAGATTTTGTAGAATATTACAACTCTCCTTCTCGAACAAGAGTATTTAATGTCATAAGTCTTGAATTTACTAATACTGGGTATATCAATATTTATTGCCTTGCTGTATATGTGTCTTTATAAATTGTCATAGACCGTACATATATAATTTGAGAAATAAATTACAGTCTTTCATCATTGGTTGAAGCGCCGTACATCGCCCGTAAACTTGACTGGGTTAATTCGGTGTGGCCACGTGATTGGCCCGAAGACAGTGATATAAAACGACCAGAAGTACAAAAGTATTGCCTAATGGGAGTTAAAGACAGTTTCACAGATTTTCATATTGATTTTGGTGGCACGTCTGTATGGTACCATGTATTACGTGGCGAGAAAGTGTTTTATCTCATCAAGCCGACACCGGCGAATTTACAATTGTACCAACATTGGATGTGCAGTTCAACACAAAGCGAAACTTTCTTTGGGGATCAGGCTGATGCTTGTTACAAGTGTGTGATTAAACAGGGCCAAACGATGATGATTCCCACAGGCTGGATACATGCGGTGCTCACGCCAATGGACTCCCTGGTTTTCGGTGGAAATTTTGTGCATAGTCTCAACATTCAAATGCAAATACAGTGAGTAAAGGAAACTTGTATATCAATTTATTAAGGAATTTATTATTCGTTTTGCGATCAAATTTCATCATTTTATAGAATATATGAATTAGAGAGAAAAATGAAGACTCCAGCGAAATTTCAATATCCTGGGTTTGAGACAATTAATTGGTTTGCGGCTAAAAAATTACTGAAGGAATTAAAAGAATTGAATAACGAGGGGAAGAAGTGTCCGCCGTATTTTTTACAAGGCGTAAAGGCATTGCTTGGAATTCTTAAACAATGGAACACGGATAAGGATGTAAGTCAAAAATGTTTATTTATATATATGAAAATATAATCTTAATTGAAAAATATAGTAATTCATGGAATAAAAGTCGATACATATGTAATTTTAGTATAACATGATTAGCCGCGGCCAAATACCAGTCACGATAAATAGTCAGAAGTTATTGAAAGATCTCAGCAAAGAGATACGACATGCGGAACGATACTTAATATCCTTAAATCCACCGAAACCGGAACGTGAAAGTAAACGAAAGAAAAAGAAACCGTTGAACAAAGATTTCGTAGACTTTGATTATGCTGATAGGATAGCCGATAATGCTTTTAAAACGAATAAAGCGACGATAAAGGAAACAAATAAAGCGACGTTAAAAGAAACGAACAAAGTGACGCTAAAGGAAACAAATAAAATGGAACCTGCTTCGATTGAACCGTCATTATCAAGACCACCATTAAAGCTTACATTACCGAAACCAATTATGTGTCCCGTAATTAAAACGCCCGCGACCGAGAAATCCGTCAACAGTAATAATAATAAACGACAATTAACCAAACCAGGAAAACAGAGCCCTACTGTGATTAGGTTTAAACTCGGCAACAACGAGGTTGTCAGAAGTACAAACGACAATATAAATGTATACGATAGCGGTATTGCAACCAGTCACTCTTTTGAAACAAAGGAAGCGCTGTCATGGAATCAAATATCGTCTGTGTATGATTTTCATGACGGCAGCAACGAGAGTGATTACGGTCTCGTAATAGACGAATCGCAGAAACGGAAACGGGCACCGAGGTCGAAACGACTTAAACGCGATTATGACGGCAATGTTGATGTGCTAAATAACGCGCCGAAGAATGGTATAGAAGAATTGTTGAAAGCATCAGCATATACCCTTGGAAACGGCACTCAAAGGCTTGACATCACGTACGTACAAATTTAGATGCAGATCATCTAGTATCGAATTATGATGGTTGTAATAATTCAAAAATAATTTTAGGCCATCGACTACAATCTCAGTACAGTACAGTCAACCTATGCCGCCGCCCACTGGGTATGCTAATTTGTCATGAAATCTGTGTGTTGTAGACTGTAGTCATTTGCTTTGAAACTATTTTAATTAATCGCAAATATAATGATTAATAAAAATTTGTAATAGCTAATTGCTATAATTTAATTACATACGTTATTATTATATAATTAGATACATTAGATACATTAAATACAATTAGATACATTAAAATTATTATGCATTTTATAAACTTTTGTAATTTTGTATTTAAAGTTATCAAATTTTCGGAATAGAATTAATGCCGAGTGACTGTAAATATATAGTTCGTTTTTAAGCAGAAAGATTTTTAATTAATTATCGAAGTGCTTATTAGAAAGCTCTTATATTAAAAGATTTTTAGCCGTACGAAGGAATGAATTTGATTTCTTGGTGTCTTAGTATTTATAAATTGAAAACGGTCAGTTCCGACAGGGCATCACCATCCACGCGGGAGGCAATTGCCGGGATGTTGTCGTTCAGCCAGCAAAGTTATTCAACAACAAGTAGTCCTACGAAAACGTCAAAAAGGTCTATTAGGAATCAGCACATTGATGATGAAGACGATGATCAGTTGATAGAAAATATCGATAAAGTTCACCAAGACGATGATTTTAGTATGTATATATAATAAGAAATATTTTATATATGATATCTTTTTACGATGGAACTATATTAAATATATGCTATTTATAGTTTATCCAGCTTTAGATGCTTCCGACGATGAGGATTATATCTTTAAACCTAAAGCAAAAAGTCAAATTGATGAAGCATGGAATCCAAAAGCTAGAGTAGGTCCTCTTTTACCAAAGATGAATCGACCAGCGCGAGAAGGTGTGAAGAAAACGTCCGTAGAAAAAGTTCTGGAAGCAGCTGCGGCGAAGCGAGCGAAACAATCGGTAAGTAAATTATTTTATTTAATATTTTACTTTATTTTATATATATTTGTTTTACGTATAATATATCTTACACATAAATAATATGTTACACGCGCACACGCGCGCGCGCGCACGCACACACACACACACACACACACGCGCGCGCGCGCGCGCGCGCGGTATCCCAGGTTTTGACCGAACTTTGTAAGTATATTCTGTGGGTATAAATAAGAAAAAAAATGTATACATATAGATATTTATAGTTTTATTCAAAAGTTATGATGAAAATATAAAATATGAAAGAAATGTTAATTTTTTATTACTATGATACAATGTAGGATCAACAATGTTTACATTTAGTCTGTTTCTAGGCTGTATCTACTATCTGAGATCATCAAAAGTAGTATGATACTTTTAGCACCTCCAAAATTAAATAATATTTTATTTAAAAAATGTAATAAATTTATATAATGAATTGATACAAAAAATTAATGATGCATTCAACGAAATAAAACAAAATAAAAATAAAATTCATAGAATACATTTGATTTTTGACTGCTGTCAATTTTCTATTGTCAAAAATGGTAGACATTTTGAAATAGAATATTAATTAATTCTAGAAATGCTAAAAATATCATGCTACTTTTGACGACCTCAAATAGTAAACATAGCTTAGATAAACAAATTGAATGTAAACATTGTTGATTTATTCTTATATTATATCGTAGTAAAAAATTAACATCTCTTTCGTATTTTTATTATAACCTTTGAATAAAGCTGTAAACGATTTATATTTATATAACATTAATTTTATCTTTAGACTCACCAAAATATACCAAAATATATAAAATTTGATCATTAAAACCTGAAACATCCTGTACATACACACACACACACACACACACGCGCGCGCGCGCACGCATACGCATACGCATACATACACACAGTACTTATTTTAAATAATATATTTTAATATTTCTTCTGTAATTTGTCACAGAAAATTTTTCAAACAGAAGTTGCATGGAGAGGGTACGTGATGAAAATACGGAGTCGATCTTGAATGACTTTTTCAAAGTCAGATTAAAGTCACTTAAAAATTTTTAAATGGAAACTTTTATTTCTTATTTCAAATCCTTGTAGCTGATTTCAAGACTTTTTCAAAACATAATAAAGTATTTTTTTAATTAAATACTTTCTGAATTATAAGATTCGAAAGTTAATAAACAAATAAAGGTTAAATAAGCCCTCTATCTTAAAGCAATTAAGTTTGAAACTAAGCCCACTATCTTAAAGCAATTAAGTTTGAAACTAAGAGAGAATGATGACTTTAGTTGGCAACGTATGTAAACTTGGAACTATGTAAAATTTGGAAGAAACTGTGTTCTTGTAAAGATGTAAGTTTTATTCAATATGTTGATATAAATCGATATTATGTTTCAAATGTTTTTACGATAGTTATCATTCAAAAATATGTCAATTTTTCGAAAAGAATTACAATATATAGAAATAAAGCAGAATTTAGAAATAATTTTGGAATTTTTAATTGAATTGCACAACAATATTATTATACATTGCAGATATTAAAATTATACGATAAAATATTAAATTTAATCAAATAGTAATTTTTCTACTATATGCATTACCTAATTATTCATTTGCATATTGAAATCATTCAAATACATATTTGTAAAAATTTACATGGAAAAAAAAAATTGAAAGAGATTCTAATGGGAATCTGTAATGTGTAGCTTTGCAGTCCGTTGTCTTATCTGCTACATCAGGCTATCTGCCAAACTCGCTTGTGTATGCAGTAAAGAAGACGCGATATTTCCAGAGAAATTTACAAAATTTTCGATATAAATTTTTCGCGAATATTTGAAAATTACATTGTGCCACTTGCACATGAATTTTTAGAGTGTAAGTACTAAAACATATTTAAAGTTAAGCAAAATTCGTGCATTCCCCTTGATTCTCCCCTTGTGACAAATAACAAACGAACAAAAGTAATAAACGATTGATGAAGAATAAACAATTGAGAGATGAAAACGCAAGTAATATACGAATGAATCAATAATAAAGTAAAAAATTCAAAATTTAACAAACATGTGAGATAAAATAACATTAATACAAATCACTGAAAAAGTCTTCTTTACAATCATTGTTTACAAATTAGTACAAACGAACTTGTATGTCGAGAGCGAGCGTGGCATAGACAGCGCATTGGTCTAGTATACTAGAGATCCCGAGTTTGAATCTTGGTAGAACCAAAATATTTTCATACGCTTGTGTGTCCTCTCAATGGTCTGGCAAACCACGAGAGAGAGTATTCTTGCCCATAGAACTTCCTCAAAAATTTGCTGTTCGGAACCGGCGTTGAAAAGTAGATCCCATATACCTGTGCATCACAGGTGTCTTACATGCACATCACAAGCGCATATGAGAGTGAGGTAGAAAAGGCTTTTTAAAAGCCTATACAAAAGTAGAAAGAGGAGGAGGAAATTGATTGTATGAACCCTTTCAAAAAAATAACGATTATCTTTATCAAATTTTTCTCATCATGTTTTCCCCTCTTAATTGCAAACAACTTTTGATGCTCCAAAACGAACAGAAACTATTACGTCCATGCCGTTGTTCTTGGATAATGCCGAAGTAGAGTAAAAGTAGAATAAAAAATATTTTAAAAATTCAAGATAATTTCGATCTGAAGATAACAAAAATCAGTTAAAGTCATCATTCTCTCTTGGTCTCAAACTTAATTGATTTAAGATAATAAATTTATTTAGCCATTATCTGTTAATTTTCAAGTCTCATAATTCAGAGAGTATTTAATAAAAAATACTTTATTGTAAAGTTTTGAAAAGATCTTGACGTCAACAAAAATATGACATAAAAACGAGAAAATATGAAATAAAAGAAGTTTTCATTAAAAAATTTCTAAATGACTTTGACCTGACTTGGAAAGGTTATTTAAATCCATATTTTCATGTATCCGCCTCCAAACCATGCAACTTTCGTCGGAAAAACTTTCTGTAACGAATTACAGAAGAAATATTAAAATGCACTATTTAAAATAGGCTATGTGTGTGCGTGCGTGCGTGCGCGTGCGTGCGTGCGCGCGCGCGCGCGCGCGCGCGGACGCGCAAATTGATAATTTATTTAATATAAAAAATTTAATGTATTATTTATAAGTTTTCCAATTATTAAATACATTAATATTAATCCAGTCAATCAATAATTAGTAACGTAGTTAAACACATTTAATAGTAAAAATATATATTGATTTTTCATATTGTTATTTATCACAAAATGCTTTATCATTCATAATTTTTCTTAAATATCATAATTCCATATTTCTTGCATATATATTTCACATAGGATGAATACCTGGATAACGACATGGACAAGGTTACCAAGAAGAAATTGGTAGGCATATTTAGATCTCTGCAATTTGATATAAAATTCTGTAGTGCTTTACTTTTCTACAGCTTCCTAATTGTATATATTTTGTAATCACAATTTTATTCTTAGTTGTATTTCTTCATTTATAATTCATGTTCTTTTTTATTTTAGTTATTACTGTATTATTAGCCTTCACTTTTTTTCCATTGCACACATATAGATATTGTTAATTATAGTTTGCTATCATTAATTTATAAATTAGAAATAGGTACAACAGAAATTTAATTAAAATAAACTTTATATATAACTAAATATAACTTTATATAACTTTATATAACTTTATAATAACTTTATATATTTAGTTAAATATCTCTATTTTGGTAATTTATTTTGGTAATTTATTCTTTATGTCTTTCGTCCTGTATTCATCAACTTTTTCATTTTTGTTGTCATTATGAAAGGAAAACGATTTAAATTATATTTTACGCGTGTAATAGGGTTCCAATAAACGAACATACAATAAAAAGAAGCAAAAGGATGCTGTAGTTAGTGCAGGAACCACATCATCCACCGCAGCTTCTGAAAATATTATAAAATCGTCTACCTTTGGATCAATACTGACAAGTCCTAACAGACTTAAGGATGTTAAAGCCAAACTCGCAGCACCCGTTCCTGTTGGTAAAGTATTAATTTTTATTACATACGCATTTTCTTTTTTTATTTCAAAATTTGCGTATTTTAAGTTATATTTTTATAACTTGTAATTGAAGAATATGGAAGATTAAATAAATTCATAAATTTTCCAGAACGGAAACCTAAGAAGGGTATGAAAACAGCAAAGCAGCGATTGGGGAAGATTCTGAAACTTCATAAAATGATGCACTAATAAAATTAGTGGAAAAAAAAGAAATATATCATGCCATTTTTCATTTGTATAAAATCATATAATTGTATATTACCATGTAAATATAACAAATTTCCCATCGAGCTGATGTACACCTTACAGAAGCAAATTGTAAAGATCAGCACGTTTTCTAAGAGATACTTATATTTATTACCACATCGTGTTTAATTTTAGGTGAACACATACCCACATACACACACACACACAAATATATATACATATACATAAAACGACTTTTGATATTTCGATATTTCAGTAAGACGATATACTTATATTGTAACCATTAGTAATACTTTATGTGATGACTTAAGTTGATAGTGATCTAGACGAAGGAAAAGCTGTATTAACCCACAGTTTACAGCACGCAATCTTTATTATATTTCAATAAGATCGCAATTTAATTTATGATTAAGGCTTTCTCTCACGGCGCAACATGGATTGTGTGACGTCAGAGGCGAGAAATGACAAGTAAAAAGTTTCTTGCATCGTATAACATCTTGTACTTTTTCCTCAAAAACGTGATATTTTCGTATTTTTAAAACTTGTAAAAAAAAATATCAGAAAGTAAGATATCTGTCCAATAAATCATGTAAAAGTATCTTTTTTGTCACTGCTCAACTATCAGAAACAACTAGATCTGGTAATTTTTGATAGCTAAGCAGTGTACTATTATTTCAAGAATTATTTATACACTTTTATGTAATTTATTGGACAGATATCTTATTTTCTGGTATTTTTAAGAATACGAAAATATCATGTTTTTAAGGGAAAAGTACAAGACAAAGCATACAACGCAAGAAACTTTTTACATGTCATTTCTCGTCTTTGACGTCATAATTCAATACGGCTACAGAGAGACAACCGAGCCTTAATAATAGATTCAACAAATTTTACAATAATTTAATGTTAAGAAAGTAAATGTTTTTTTTAATGAATAGTACATAAATACTTCACCGTCCATTATCAAGAATGCAGAGAATTTTTCATGCGTTTCATATTTTTGCATTTTTTAGAATACACAATTAGCATGCAAACTTCTCTGCTGTGTATTTTCTAATCCCAATTATCGGAATACGATTCTTCATTTTGATATGACTATAGTTTAGTATTTTCCTTGCATGTGAAAATGCGACAAGAGTTTTATTGATTCCGAAAATATTAACAAAAATTATCTCCATGTTCAAAATGACAATTGCCACATGCTTTTTTATTTTATTATAGATATAATTAAATCATAAATATCAAACGTAACTTTTTCTTTGCTTTTTCAAAGACAAGAAAATTCAAGAAGTAGATTACAAATAATATCTAGATATAGAGTTGACTATAATAATAATAATTATTATTATTACAGGAATACACTTGTACAATAACTATAATTTTTCTTCTAATATAATTTGTTCGATGTTATATTTAGTATTTTAGTTATTCCTAGCAACTTTGCCACTTAATTTGTATATTATAAAGAGAGGCTGTAGGATAATAATTTAGTTTTTCACATATTTGTTATAAAAGTAAAAAAAAAGAATGAGATATTTGTCAGCAAAAATATTTTAATGTAACTTTCAAGTATGTGGTAAGATCTATTTTGATCGTTACGTGGAGTTCTAAGCAAAGTAGTATAAGGAATATTATCGATTGTTGTATCGTACAGGAAATTACCTAACACACACACACACACACACACACACACACACACACACACTATTTCGTTCCTACGTTTTCCTA